TTAAGAGACAGCTAAAAAGTACCAGTTACACATTTATGAAGTACCAGCAATCAAAATTATGGATTTTCTAAAAGGTTTTTAACTACTTTTATTGAAAGGAAAATCGCTGTCTCAGACGTTTGTGACACTATTGCTAATAATAAATTTTACCATTTAGACATAGCAGTAATATGGTAGACAGTGTCAATAAAAGTATGAAACAAAGATGATCTTGTCTTTTAAGTAATGCTTTCTGATTATACACCGGAAATTATAATGTGAAACATAAACTAAGAACACTTAAAAAATATAACATATAATAATATAAGACAATATGTTGAGGTATGTATATACAGTGTGCAATAAATATCTCATAATATATTCAGATATACATTTCAGAGATTGTCTAGTATACCTAGAATACTAACCACACAAAAAATTATGTATATATGCATATAAAACTAAAATTATATGAATCAGACTAAACTCTCTAGCTCTTCACTTATGAATAAGTTAGAATGAAGTATACAAACATTTGTGATGTTATCTTTGGGCTACTTATCTAAAACTTTTCCTTCTAATATTCTATATATCACTAGAGGGCACTGTGGTATTTAGGCCACTCTGACCTCTTTAAGCAATGTAACTATTGGAAAGGTCTTCAACTTCCGTACAATGTCAGAAAGGTTAATAAGGATGTTGTAAAAGAAACTGCAACATTCAAATTTGAACAGAAGCTCAAAATATGTAATAGCCTAGAAAATAAAATCAGTTCTTTTATCAGTAAGTGTCAACACGTTTTCACAAAGAACAGATTTCATAGAACAACTGCACTTCGGCTGCCTTACTATCATTTATAATGGATTAACAGTTGGAAACACCTTTAACCAGCAAATTTTGTATTTATGTTTGAAAAATCAAATTGGGGACACCATGTATGTAAACATAAAAGCATATATAGACTAGTCTTTTCTGCTCTAACCATTGGATCAAAAGTTTCTGTTGTGCTAACTGCAGATGATTTCACTGCAGAACATTTTGACATGCAAATGATAGCAATTAATGTGTTTGAAATAATTTATGATTTCCGGCTTACTTCAACATGTATTAGCATATACCTGGTTTCTTTAACACACACTTTGTTTTTCCAAAACCACAAACATAGTTGCTGGAATTTCATGTGGAAGTGCTTAAGGGGTTGAAAGTTAACACCTTTGTGAGCTGCGCTGCCTCACAGTTGCTGCTAAACAAAAGCCTCTTTGTAGAAGCTTTCTTGAAATGTTTTCTTAACATGTTCCAAGTAGTTTTAGGCAGGCAACTAAAGTAAACAAGATGTTACCATGATAAAAACACTTGTGAAAACATTACAGAGTGCACTTAGTAGTTTCTTTCATAGAAACCCTCCTTAGTTTCATTTAAGTTAAATTCACATGAAGCAGGCAACCAGCATCTTTCTATGTAGGTTGCCACATCTCCCAAAAGGGGTGTGTATCCCATTTAGAATAAATAATCAAATTACAGATGTTATTCTGAGACTGAAAATACCCAAATCATGATAGAATTAAAATAAATACGGGCACAGTTTGGTCCTGCACCGCGAGATGTGCCCTGGATGCCTGCATATCTTGACAAGCACACCACTGCCCATCTGAACAAAGATTTCCCCAAACTAGCAGTGCTGTAAAGGGAGAACCGATCCCTTTCCTGTACATAATCTTTAAAAATACATGAGAATGAAATAAAGCTTATCAATTTTTAACGTAATTTCCTATGATGCCGTTCTTTCATTTCAGATTACGATGTGGGTAACATGTAAACACATGATACAAGGCGTGTCTGCTCCCTAAAGCCTTCACCTTGGTTTTGCGGAGGTAGGAATAAGGCTACTGGATCACATCAGGGAAACTGGACTTGTTTTTGTTTTTTATATTACCTAAGTATTCTAGGCAATGCAGGGTGCAACTATTTCATTAGACTTAGAAGAAGCACCTGCTGATATCAATTAGCTCTTACTGATACAGCCACTGTATAATAACCAATGGCTAAGAGATTACCAAAACCCCAAAAAACTAAAACTGCAACTTATTTGGAAAAGAAATAGGGAAATAAATGCATACAATAGCCTGTGTGTCTGCTGGTTGTGATAAGCATCCTCCTGTTGGCTGTGAGTGAAAGACAACCAGGATTGTTATTTGTACAGTATTTATCTTTGAAATCAAGGGCCCTGTGGTGTACCTCACCTTGGGAACAAACACTACAGAATGATCACAGAAGAGTGTCAAATCTCTGTTTTTGATTTACCAACAGTTATGATATTTCTTCCTCAGGAGGAAAAAAAAAGAACCATGATTTTAGACCTTCGAGTCCTTTTTCTCCTTTAACTACGGTATCATTTTATTGGCATATAGCGCTTTCATTCCACATATAACTTCTCTTCACTCTCTAGAACAGACCCTTTCACTTGGGTGAATGAAATTAAGTAATGCTCAACTGACATGGAAACTGTATTTCACTTAGTAGGGGCTATATTTTTTTATCTTGGGCTGGCAATTAAAAGACCCGCGCCTTCAAAGATTTTACAACTACAGTGGGTACAATTACAATTGTCTACAGTTATGAAAGCTTCAACCATTTTCAGCATTATTTCCTACCTATCTTTTCAGTAAATAATAAACTTTCAAAAATAACAATAAAATGTAAGGGCATCCACTCCACAATAGGGGCAAGAAATCTGGAGGGCTACAGTATCATTATATAAAGTGCTACCCGCTTCTCTAGCAATGTCAATTTGGTGCCTGGAGATATCCATTCTGGATACATTCTGGGTGAAGTATCACACAGCACTGATATCATTTTGTAGAGAGATAATCCCTTGGATTGTAGAATTTGTGTACTGGAAAAATTTAGGCAACTCAACAGGTATAAGAAATACAGTATGCACTATTTTTGCTGTTGTTGATGAGAGACAATTTAAGAGAGGGGAAAAAAAGACACTTCAAAACTGGAAGGGGAAAAAGAATCTAAATATGGAGGTTTGGATGTCTTAGGGAAAGTACAGATGGAACCTTTTACCTGTAGGCTATGGCTCAAATTTAGCCAAGGTTATAAATTACCTGAAATTGTTATAATCTACTGGTTGTTCACAGATCTCTATGAAAGGAGTGTGTGGTCTCAGTCCACCTCCCGGTGGGACAGATGAACATACCACAGATGTATCACCACAATTGACACGAATAGGAAACCTTTCTGATAGTGTCAGCAAAAAGCCCAATGACTGAATGCACCAACACTGAACTACCCATCATTCATAAAGGTGGCCCCACCGTGTTGGGGGTGAGGGGTTGGGGCACACAGACAGGTAGTCTACGCTGTCCCTATCCATGCTGCATTACCTAAGCATGGCAGAATCCGGCCCATTATTGTGTTCAGTACTATTTTTCTCCATAAGTAGTCTTACTAAAATTAGTGGAGTCCAATCCCAGAGAAGAGACTACTCAAAGTGAGTAAAGGCGGCCAAATCTGCCCCATGTGAATAAACAGAGAATTCCAGTCTCCAAAGCTGTCAAATCCAGAACCTTTCCCTTCACTAAATGTAATGAAATTTAGAATTGTTTTAAAGAACTAAATGTTATAGAATGGCATATGAATATAAATGAGCTGGCAAGTATGAGAGATTAGCATTTATTTCACTAAGTGAACAACAGGATGAACTGAAAGAAATGAGGCCACTCTTCATGGAAATCTATGACTAGTACCTTCTTATTTTGTAATCCTCTTATAATGAGACCCTTTTCATGACTGCACCACTCCTTACTTGTAATGTATGCTTATACGGGGCCTGTTCCTGCTCTCACTGAAATCAAATGGGGGGTTTGCCAGAGACTTGATTGGGACCAGGATTGACCCATTGTGTTTTGGAAGCAAAAATTTTAATCTAGGCTTCAACATACCATTTTAAAAACAAAAACAAAAAAACACAACAAAATATTTTTCAGAACTATCCCGAGAAAGAACAGACATATATAAGACTGTTTCCTAAAGATTTGGGAATGAATTCTGCTCCGGTGTTCATCTCGAGCAATTCTGTGGATTTCTATGAATTTATTCCACTTGGATAGCATTGTAAATATGACAGTAGAATTTGGCCCTTTGTGCATTCAATCCACAAATGTTGCTGGGGCATTTGGTCTGTGTTGGATGTAACAACAACACAGTCATAGCAAATCTAGGAATTGCTAGCACACATCAAAATTCAAGAGGAGCCAAATGTAGCAACAGTCTAATTGGGCCTAGTGATCCACTCAGAGATTCATGTGATGCAATATTAACATATTTACACTTCAGCTTTGAGGGAGGAAGTGGATACTTGCAGAAGAGCATTGTGAGATTTATGACAACCTTCCCTTCCCTGTGTTGGGATCCAGGCATTACCACACACTAGCCAATAATGCACTGGTGATGCAACATGTAAAACTGTATACTTTGGCAGTGAGAAAAGGTCAGCAGAAAATTGCAGGGGCCTAATAAATATAATTACAGTTTATTTTTAGTAGTGTAGACTTTGTTCATTAGTTACTTATCTGACATAAATTAATTTCACCTGACGTCTTGCGATTCTCTCTGATCAATTAAGGTGTTAATATAAGACTAAATTTCATAATTAATTGAAATAAAGGTTAAATTAAAGTTGAATTGTGTAAAATTTCAGTAATTTAAAAAAAATGGAATATTCAAATAGAAAAACACTTTAAAGTAGACTGAAGAAATTCAAACACTATGTTTTATAGCAGTATCGTATACAGGAGACTATTTGAGTTACAGATGTCCTTTTTCCTAAAGGGATAATTTACCATCCCCTATTAAAATGTACATTAGACATAATCCAAAACCAACTGAAATTAATGGGAGTTTTCTATTGCTTTCAATGAGCTTGGGATCAGGCCCTTGGTGAGTGAGTGACAGCATAAAAAATGACAGGACATGCTCAGGGTAAAATATAAGTGCCAAAACCCCCCACTTACTTTAGAAATGACTGGAAGTCTTCACAAACTGCTTCACAGCCTGGCCATTTGCATACACCATGTCCATAAAGCGGATGGCTATGTGAGTGCTCCTCGTGGGATAAACTGAAGGAAAGAAACAAAAAGAAAGGAGGAGATGCATTGTAACTGAAGGTCTGAATAAATTCATCTTGGCAAAGATGCTAACAGCAAAAGACACAGGTTGAACACCACAACAAATAGAGGATCCAAAAATATACCATTACAGTTCACGAACCCTATTTACCCTGCCCTTGATTTCTAAAAACAAAATTAAATATCATTTGCAGACGGAATATATGTGCCATCCAAGATCTCTCTTGTATGTACCTCCTACATTTCATTCATTAACTAAAAGCTTTGTAAAGAATTTAAATGAACACGGAAGGGGACAGACTTGCTTAAAACTCTACTTCATATTTTGATGAGAAATGTATGAATATTACACATTGACAGTTCAACTGCATCAGAATGAAAAGCTATTCCTGAACAGCAGCACAGTGTCTTAAAATACAATGTATCCAGGACTTAACATTCCAAATTATTATATAAAGGAAAAAAACCTGGCGTCTGAGCTCTATTTTTAACACCATATTGTCCATCTAGCATTTTCTTCTCTTTACTATGCTGCCCTTTTTGCACTAGAACAGACTGTTTACACTCTACTAAAGTGAATCACGAATGTTTTCAAATGTAAAATTCATCGTAAAAAAGGAAACATGTAATAATCAAAGAATTCTGCAATACCAAAAGGTTAGCAGGGACTAGTATCATGTCTAAGCTTTGGTAGAAATATCACAGTGCTTACCAACTACTGAAACTAAGGTTAAAGAAAAAAATTCTTATGAACATTAAGGGGTTAATCCTCCAGTGGGATTCCAATCAATACGTAATGATTTGACTGCACTGATCCAAGTCATGAGACGCTTTGATCCAGGCCATGAGGTGCTCAGGGAAATGTATCTGTTGCACTAACTGATGAACCATATTCTAAAATATCTTCTTTATTCAACTTCTGCATGGAAACTTCTTAAGTAAAGGAAATATTTTTGCAACAATTTCCGTAACCTTAGATGGCTTTAAGCATTAAATGCCAAAATAATATTGAGGGCTCTATTTTATACTCTCACACACACATCTATTTTTCATAGCAAATCTTTTTGCTACAGCGTACTTCTGCCATATTATGAACTTCAAACACACACAAAGGATATGACTGCATACCAGCACCTAGGTGGGGTTTTATGACTTTTTTTTATCCTGGATTACAGGTATAGTTATGGATAAACACCTACATTTTGCCATCTTATGTCTATGCACATGTGGAAATGTCATTTGTTCTTGTTCTGGAACATTATCTCACCATGTATTACAACAATGATTACAGTTACATTCTTTCTTTTTCACCGGATATGAGAACCACACTGTTGTCTCAAACACTCCCTGTTGTCTCAAACAATAAGAAACACATGAGAATGTTCCTCCAAACCTCCCAGCTTCCATTACATCTCATCTTAGGCCCAATGGAAATCTCTGGACAATTGAGGGACACTTAACACTTTCTGAAGGTAAAAGGTGTTTGGAAAAAATATTACAAAAATGTGCATAAGTGTTAATTTCCATTTTTCCACCTTTTCCAAGCAGCTCTAAAACTCAGCAACCTAATTCTCCTACAAAACATAGGTGGGGTGACCAGATATCCCGATTTTATAGGGACAGTCACGATTTTTGGGTCTTTTTCTTATATAGGCTCCTATTACCCCTCACCCCCCATCCCGATTTTTCACATTTGCTGTCTGGTCTCCCTAAACATAAGAGGCTCAGAGGGTCACAAAGACCTTGTCTATATGGGACCTTTTTTCAGATTATCTTCAATCGGTTTTTAAAACAAACGAGGAGGGAGAAACTATAGCTGGTGAGCTGTTAAAAGAATGAAGGAACCAATCCACTCTCTGCAAGGAAGTTGAAAAAATGTTATAACACATGTGTATTCTCAATTGAAAAACAGAGTGCCTGGGTGAAGGAACATAGTCAACTCAAGCCAGATACGGTGCAGAGTCAGGTTCACTCTTTGAGGATGTGGAAGGAGAAGAAGAATTTAAGAATACTGAAATGTTTAGTAACATCACTTTTTATATCCTAAAATATGAATAAAATGCTGCAAACCTCAGGAGAAAATGAGAGAAAAAAATCTACATCGCTATCTCGTCTTTATTTTTATTTTATTAAGAGGTTCATTTGATCATGACAGGCTAAACAATGAAATCCAGATAAAAGGCTAGGCTTGATGGTTACAAACTCAAAACCAAAACAAATAAACTTGTGTATCACAGGCCCAGTCTACACTTAAAAGGTTTTGCTGGCACAGCCATGCTGGCTAGGAGTGTGCAAAAATAGCTATGCTGGTAAAAGCATCGTGTAGACGGGGTTATTATATTGGCAAAAAATGTCCTTTTGCTGGCATTGCTTATTTCATTTGGGAACTGGTATAAGCTATTCCGTGAAAGAAACATTTTGCCAATGTAAGCTGCAGTTTCCCTATGAGTGTTTGCCAGTATAGCTATACTGGCAAACCCTTTCTAGTGTAGACAAGGCCTCAGTCTATTTACTCAACAGCATAATAAAGCTGGATACATTTTAGGACTGAAGGCTTACTAGGAGCATTTGCAGTCAATACTAAATGTAGACCCAGCTGTTCTTTAAATTAACAGATTTTTAATGTGGTTTGTTGTGTTTTTTATCAACTAGTTTTACAGCACAAGGATAAAGGGTGGGAAAGGAAGTTTTGATGTTAACATCCCATTAAGATCAATGAAGACATTCATAGCTACGCCAGTGGTACGGTTTAAGTGTGTTTGTCAGACTCAACAAAACTTTAGCATGTCAATTTACATAGTGAATGTTACACACATAACCAAACTGAACTAGGAAACTGTGACACGTAACAAGACAAAGTACATTTTCAAAGGGTTCTGCAGGGTTTTCAGCATTGTAAATCCCATTATAATGCCAGTGGGAATCATACAGTTTAAACACCTAAATGGATTTTTTAAAATTAACCTCTTAGATTCTAAAGGCTACAGCCAAGTCTCTGGGAAGATCCCAGGATCACTATGCATATTGTTTTAAATTGGGGTACAAATCTTTTTTTTCCCCCAAGGATCTTCTGCATGACAGGGAGGGCACTACCGTACTCTGCCCAAAAACATTCAAAGTATGTGACTGAAGGTGTCTATGTGAATGCAGAGTTTTAACTCTCCATGGGAATTCCTTATGTTAACCATAAATGGAAACATGAAAAGTCAACACACTCACAGTGTATTTTAAATGGCATTATGCCTAAAGCACACATACAAGGAAGATTCCACCACCATTCAACAATGAACAGAAATGCTCAAAGTTTTTTTGGAAGTAGCTATTTTTAACAAAGATTAAAAATGCAAGCCCTTCTGGTAGCTACTTTTTTGAAATTACTGGTTCCTTTACTTCTTTGTCCCTGCACTATTCTTGGATCTTTGGTGGTGTATTTTGGGGACTTTCACATGGCCAGATAAGTGTCCTGTTATTCAATCTGGCCCATCCTGCTTCTATTGATAGTATTAAATATTGCCTGTTTGTTCAAGGAAACTAGAATCTTCAAAAGGATTACTCCAGAAAAAGACAGAAGAGCAGAACAAGATTCTGTACTGCATTTGGCATAATGAGGAAAAGACAAGAAGAAAATGAAAAATGAATTAAGAACTTGATTTTTCTTGAACTGTTCCAAGTACTAGACTTTGGGCCTAATACATTAAAGACATTGTTCCAAAACATTTGTTTGTGTGCAAATATGACTTCTAAAATACTGCCACATACAGAGAGACCACAGACACATGCAGATTGTAGAAGACAAGAATGTCAGGAAAAACAAGTAAATCATTTGCTCCAGATCTTCCCCTTGATTTCTAATGATACTGAAAGAGCATATGTGTGTTTCTCTCTCTCTCTCTCTCTCTCTCTCTCTCTCACACACACTCACACAAGTTCACGGATAACCTGCCATGAATATGTGTGATGTACAACAAGTTTTTGGAGGTAAATCATATAGCATTACATGATTTACATAAACAGCAGAGGTATGCCTGGCATAGGATCAAGACAGATCTCTGCACAGTTGCTTTTTCTATGCCCAGTGGATTTGGATTGCCCCTTCTTATTTGTAAATTATCTGTTGGTGAAACACTTAACAGAATGCATCCAAAATAATACAGGGACATGATAAGTTTAGACGCAGGCACATGAAATACAATACTTCAGCCAAGCAAACGTTGTTGTGTAATTCTGTTTATTAATGACATGGATCATGGAGTAACAAAAATACAAATGATAAACCAGAAAATTCCTTAACCCGTGTCCTCTTAACATTTATTTTTGATGCTTTCAATGTCCTATCTCCATGCAGACTCCCTGCAACTGCTCATCCAGGTGGGATGAGGCGGACAAGGGACAGTCTGGCACTCTTATCTTCAACCCTGTCTTCAGCATCCACCTTCTAGATGCTCACAACCTGTCTTCTTCAAACAAAGCACTGCATTGTGCTTCCTACCTATGAGGGCCCTCCTCAGGCTTCAGAAGTAAGCTCACTATGTGCACTCTACCTCCAACAAATAGTACTGTTAAATAAACCTGTATATAAACAGAAGCCATTCAATTACTGCAGCCAGTTTAGCCTTTTAGGTTTGAGACAGGAAATTTCTACAATTGATTGCTCCATTTCTGATACCTGAGATCCTCATTGTAAATACAGAACCACATTTTCCCCCTGGAGAAACCACAGATAGCAAGGCCCAAATTGAGAAAGGAAGTGACAGTACCCCTAAGATACACAGTACCACTATCTTGGTGAGAAGAGTGGTACTTGGTTTCTCAAGCGTCCTGTGCTGATTGAAATTCTGACATGAACGGCTATAGCCACCATGCTATTCAGCTGCAAAAAGCAGAAGCTTACTCTCTGTCCAATTCACTTGTTTTCCCACCATATTCTAGATCTAAGAGCACCACTCGCAGTGCAAATTTTAGTCTCTTAAATCTCCATTCTTTGACCAACT